AAAGTACGAGTGTGAAATCGCCATCCCCCTCCTCCTTACTAATTTTAACGCTGTACTGAGAAAGCTGGCAAAGCACCATGGAATGAAAAAGAGAGAAGGAGAGAGAGAGAAAAATGAAACAAGTTTAATTATTTCATCTGTTCCACTCTGTAATTATAATACAGTATTCCGTAATATCAGTTGGTGTGGATTGGCAGCGTTCCTTTGAAAATACCAGCCTTCACCAACTAACGATAAAGAGCACTGTCTTCTGGTTTCCTGAAGTACATTATTCTTTGCTGTTCTTTTCTGTCCTGACTTCAGAAATGAGAACACTTATTTCTTATCTGCACCTTGCATTTCTTTAGAATTGCGGAAATGTGGATTATGGGTGACTGTGATTCTCTATGATCTTTAAGGGTACAAAGAAACCTTGGAAATTGAGAACTTTCTTTTCCTGCAAGAAAGCTAAGATCCATAACAGTTTTGTGTACTGCAAAGTTATTCCCTGCTGTGCAATAAAGTAATGACTGACAGACTGATGGATTGATTGGTACAACATTTCTGTCCTGGATATGATTTCCTTTCCGTGTAATCTAGTGTTTGGACTGTTGATCTGTAAAATATGATCTGAGGGCAATATTTAGACCAGTCTCTCCCAGTTGTCCACATTTGCTAAATATTTTTTTTCAAACTTTTTCATATTAATTCACCAGAGGTAAATTGAACAAATGTTTTACTATCTATAAAATACCTTTATGTTAATTCTTTTTAACTGAAACATGTACTTTTCTCCATCTGCCTCATATTTATACAGGCTTCAATACAACCTGATTTTCAAGGAAAGATAAATTATTCGCATGTTTGAAGTTTCTTCAAATATAACTGTGCCTTACTGTCTCAGTTCTGGCAAGCATGTTAGTTGAAAAATAAATCCACTGTAAATTAGCTGGAAAGAGAGATGAAAGTGCAAATCATAATAAGTGTTGATTAAATGTTCCTAATCTGATTATCTGAGAGCTGTGGTAATAACATGCAGCTCCAGATCTCTGGCAGAATATCAGGATGGGTGTATCTAATGCCAACGGGAAGGTCAGCTGAAGCTTAGGCATATCTGACAGAGCTGTACTCTATGATGGCACCAAATAGGAGGAATCCTGTATGGCTTCTGAAGAGCAGACTGATACCTTGAATGGTGTGGTACTTACTGGCTTTATTTCCTACCCTAAAAGCTCATAGAGTTGTTGTTTGAAACAGAAGTGACAGATAATCCGATGCATGCTACACTTTCCTGAGGAAGAAGATTTAAATACAAATGATAAATATAGTATTTTTGAAAGTAGACAGTGTTTGGTATGTCAGGCACCTGACAGCTACAAATAACAGTAAAATTCTGGAAGTGGGTTGCTTCTAGAACACATTCATTTATCTGTTATTACTATCAAATCATCATGGCATTTAGTATTCTGAATAATACTATCCATCCAAATTGAACAGGATGGGGGCAGAAGCCTTTAAAAGTCCAGATTTAGAGGAAAGAGACTCTGCTGTAAAAATATCAGAAGGAAAGATGAAAATGTAGCCGAGACTTATGCTATCCACGTACACACAAAAAAGTTATCCTTATTCCTTATTCTCCTTGCCCTGCAAGAGGGTGAGGTATTTTGTGGCACTGTCCAAAAAAAAAAAAATAGAAAAAGAAAAAAAAAAAAAAAAAGGAAAATTTTGGGTAGGTTAAAAAAAAAAAAGAAAGAAAAAAAAAGAACAGGAACATTTTGGGTAGGTTAAACAAAATTGTGGAAATAACAAAAGTCATGCAAAAAAACTGCTATATTACAAATTGTGCAGAAAGGCTCCATTGTTTCATGGATTCCAAGAATCAGAAGTATTAGAAAGTTTGCTTGAATATTTTGCTTAACAATCAACCCAGTTAATTTAGTAAATATTATTTACCTCCCTAGACATAAGAGTATGAGTGTGTCAGTCAAGATCAAGGAACTAGGAACAGGAGCAGAACTTTATACTCTAACTAACCCTTTTTCCTTTAAGCAAACTTCTCTACCAGTCTCAATTGAACAATGCCACTTTGCATTTCAAAAGACAGTGTTTGGAAATTACATAATCTTATTAAAGGAATGGAAAACACAACTTGCTTCAACATAATGCGGCTCTAAAAAGCTTCAATAGTTTATTCACTTATAGACTTCTTTAGTTGGAGAGCTCAGTGCAGGTGAATAATTTGATCCCCCATTGAAAGTGGCAGGAGAAAAGCCAGCAAATGTAACCTTGAGCAAGCTGCACGGTTCCAGAGCACCCCAAGATGAAGGGAAGAATAAACCACTTCTGAGTACTCTGTGTGAAGAACCTGGTGAAATCCTCAAAGAGTTAATCCATTCCCAATGCTATGTGGAAAAGTGTATGCCTGATGTTTGAGTTAAAAGAAGGGAAGAGGGAGAAATGCCAGTTAATTGAGAGGAAGTACCTACATCTGCTGGTATGTTAGCTTAGAGCTTCAAGGCTGAAACAGCTCTTCCTATAATACCCTAATTGCAAGGACCTGTGTCAGGCAAGGGTAGGAATAACTGGCAGGTTACTCTCTGCCAGAACATTCTGAGCAACTGGGAATGTGATTGCTGGAGAAAAGAGGATGATGGAGTAAGAAAGACAGAATAGACAACAGAGCACAGAAACTGTTGCTTACTTAGCTTAATCTCTTAGGAGACTGTAATGCCTCTCAGTTATTCTGCTATGCTCTGCACATGCACTGAAACCATGCTACAGCTTCAACATGATGTGAGTATTTATTCAGCATTGTTATTTTGTCTGGGAAATATTCCATACAGTGGGGTCTCGACTTACGAATGGCTCGACATACGAACGTTTCGACTTACGAACTGCTCTCATAGGAATATATGGACTCGACTTGCGAACTTAGATTCAAGTTACGAACTCTTTTTTTCTTTTTTTTAAAAGCTAAGTAATCTTAGGTTAAAAGGAAAAAAGAAAAAATCCCCCTCTAGTGGCAGAAGGCAGAATAGCAGCTTCCCATTAGTTTCTATGGACGAAAAGAGCAGATACGGATTAAATGGTTTTCAATGCATTCCTATGGGAAATGAAGATTCGACTTAAGAACTTTTCGACCTGAGAACTGCCTTCCAATACGGATTAAGTTCGTAAGTCGAGACCCCACTGTACTTGATTTGTCTTTTTAAAGCCTCTGAATAAGCTTTTGATGTTTTGTCTTGGATTTGCTTCACGTTTTTTTGCTCCTTTTGGAAACTTTGATTTTTCTTTTGAGCCTGTATATCTTTTTTTTTATTATGTCATTAATAAAAATAATTCATTTTTCCAGCTGTGTGCTCACTCTGGAAGATAAGTAATTGGTGGTACCGAAGAAAGTCGTTGTACCTGAGATTTTGAGGTTTTTTATGTGGCCGTTTTTGTATTTCTACCTTACAGGGTTGGTTGGTAGACCCAAGCAAGCAAGCTTGTAGTTTTGGGTCTCTCCCTGGAGCACTGAATGCTCAGAAGTGTTGGAAGATGGACACACAGGAAGCTTTCCCCAAACAACAGAACACTGTACCCTTTTGGAACATACCCGCACCAGGAAAAGCCAGGGTAGTATGGCTTAGTGATCAGTGGATCCCCCTGTGGTGGCCAACATCTTGACACACTATCCTAGAAAACCCTGAAAATCATTACTATAAGTCAAACTTGACTTGATGGCTTTTAATAATTTTTCCAGGGAGAAGACTCCCTGGAAAATACTCTGATGCTAGGAAAGTGTGAAGGCAGGAGGAGAAGGGGACGACAGAGGATGAGATGGTTGACCAGTGTCATCGAAGTGACCATCATGAATTTGACCCAACTCCAGGAGGCAGTGGAAGACAGGAAGGCCTGGCGTGCTCTGGTCCATGGGGTCACGAAGAGTCAGATACGACTAAACAACAAACAACAATAATTTTTATTATATCTGGCATTTTGGTGCTACAGTGCCCCCAATATAACCTACAAGTGAAGGAAATACAGATCTTAAAGATAACAATACAATAGATTAGAAGTAAAACAGAGGCTAATGCTCCCCACAAAATCCAGCACATCTGGTCAGTGTGTGTGTTCTGTGCTGTAAAGTCAGAACTGACTTTTAGCAACCCTAATAGAGCTTTCAAGGTAAGTGAGATATTTAAGGAGTGGTTTTACCAGTTCCACTCCCCCAGTGAGTTTACATAGTTGAGCAAGGATTTGAATGCTGTTTTCCAGTCCTAGTCATCATACTATTCCACACTGGGAACAACACACTGGGAAGATTCTGTCAGTAAAATGAGAAAAGTACCTGGAACCTTCTTTTAGCCTGTAGTTCTAAAACACACCACTTTCCAGTTCTTCAGTTTCCCTTGCAATTACAGTAACATGCATCGAAAACAGGGAGGAGTGTGTGGTAAAGTGTGCTAAGTATGTATGCTGTCAGTAATATGAGAAAAGTACTTGGAACTTGCTTTCGCCTGTAGTTCTGAAACACACCACGTTCCAGTTCTTCAGTTTCCATGCAATTGCAGTAACATTCATCAAAAACAGGGAGGAGTGTGTGCCAAATAGTGCTAAGTATGTATACAGTGTGTTGGTTCTTTCCCCTCAATCTATGACTGTTCTCACTGCTGTGCCAGCAGTCTTTCCCAACCCTCCCCAAGACCCTGCATAGCAGCGCTGTGCAGTTTCAGGGATTCAGGCCAACCATAGCTTTATCATTTATCTTTTGTGCTAGCCATTTGTTCCAGAGGTGGGTCTTCCAGAGCAAATATACCATGGTCCACAGTTGGCCAGATACCCAGCAGAGAGAGAACTTCTATTGCACATCTCATGTATGGTATAGTGTGTTATGAATGGGATGTAAACTGCTGGGTGTTCTATGGCATCAAGCTTTGGTTTTATGCAGTCAGCATGGCAGGCAGTAAAAGAACTAAAGAGAAAGAACATAGACATTTTCTGCCAGCTGTTCTGATGGCTTCTTCATATTCCTTCAGGTGTTCCAGATTGCTTATGTCATTGTAAAAGCAGCTAATGCACCACGGCCTGGAAACTGGATTTTGGAACGTTCACTTGATGGTGTCAACTACCAGCCTTGGCAGTACTATGCTATCACAGACACAGAATGCCTCACTCGCTACAATATTCCTCCTCGCACTGGACCTCCATCATATGCGAAAGATGATGAAGTTATATGTACTTCGTATTACTCCAAGATCCATCCACTGGAGAATGGAGAGGTAAGACAGGATATTTGTTCGTTGTCAGTATTGTGCCAACCAAACTGATCTATATGTTCTTCTTAATTAACGTGCATGGTTCCATAGAGAGGATCAGGAATCTACAAACATTGATATAATGTGCCTCCTTGAAATCCCCAGTATGCATGCCCAGCAGAAACAGTTCTATTCATCTGGACAGCTATTCAAGTGACACACAAAATTATGAACATAAAGAATTAGACAATGATCCTGACTAAAGTGGGAAGGCTTGGGGGGCAAATGTAAATCAGATTCTGAAAAACACTCCTGATGTGAAAAGATCCAGGATCACACCACTAATACTCATAAGGAAGAACAGGGTGGCATGGGCTGACAGCCTCTTCATCTTCAGTGTCAAGACCAGGAAGCAAGGATTGTGCAATTCATTTGTATACGTAGTTGCTGTTGTGATAGTTGTGCAGCATACATGTGAAAGTGATTCATGAATAGCGCTTCTGTTGTCCCATGCATTTCAGATATGGTTCTGCAGTTTTGTATTGTGCATGTGGAACTGTTCAGTAGGATTTTAGAAGTAGAATCACAACATTGGAAAGTTGGAGAAGAACCCACAGGTCTTCTGTCTGAATCTAGAACAAATATAGGAAATCCATAACTAAAGTGTCCCTGACAGATGGCCACCCAACCTCTGTATAAAAACGTCCGGGCTAATCTCTTCCACAGTTGAACAGCTGGTACCATGAAGACATTCTTTTTAATATTTAGATGGATTCCCCTCCCATTCCCTGAAATTTCAACCTCTGAGGCAGCAGAAAACAAACTTCATCTATTTTTCATGACAGACACTTTCAGGTATCTGAAGATGTCTACCATGAATATGTTTACCATGATTCTTTGTTCTTCTTAAAATCCTGTTCTTACAACAGAAAGGGATAAAATGGGAGTGAGAGCCAGTGTTTTTAGAAACATACTATATGATATGTAGTACATCTCAACATAGTTTTATGAGGATCTTTGTAATATGATGGCTAGTGTCTTGTACCTGTTCTCTACTTGAGAGTAGCCCCACTTGTGAATAATAAGAACATATATGTAAATCCTCGTAAGTCAATAATAGGTCTACTCTAATAGAAACTAGTAGTCTCTATTAGAGACTCAAAGATTTTTAATGAGTGAAAGAGAAGAAATAGTTAAAATACTTACGATGTACCCTTTCCTTTTTAAAATTCCCTTTAAAATGTTTTAAATTGTTTGAATTCAATAGTTTTAATACATAGTATGTTTAATCATGTTTTAAATTGCAGGTTATATTTTTAATTGTCTTAATATTTGTTTTTTTAAAATATTTTGTAATCTTTCTTGAGTTCCTTTATTGGGAGAAAGGTGGAACATAAATAAAATAAACAAATACTGCTATTCCTTTCCTTATAATAAATTAGATGTTGAATATATAGTCAGACTACAGTGGTGCCTGGACTTATGACCATAATCCGTTCCAGAAGATGGACATAACTCAAAATGGTCATAAGTCGAAGCACCATTTTCCATAGGAATGCATTGAAATGCAATTAATCTATTCCAACAGAAGAAGAAAAATCCCCAAAAAAAATCATTGCAAGACTCATTGGAAACATGATTAATCCCTTCCAGCTGAAGGGAAGAAAAAGAAGGAAAAAAGCAATCAAGCGTGCAAGACCCATGGGAAATGCACAGAAAACAAATGGAGCATATCGGAAATGCACAGAGAACAAAGGGGGCAGGATGGAAATGCAAAGCAAACAAAGGAAAAAGCAACGGAAGCATGCAAGACCCATCAGAAAAGGGGGAAACCCCCCAAAAGCAACCAAACCTCCAAGACCTATCAGAAATGTGGGAAGCAAAAAAAACCCAAGACCCATTGGAAATGGGGGGAAGCCAACAAACAAACCCCCCAAGACCCATTGGAAATGGGGGGGAATACAAAAACAAACAAACCCAAGACCCATCACAGCACAGAAACATAACCCCCCACAGCTCAAAACCACGCTGCAAAAACAGTTTTTAAAAAGCAGAAAACAGCATGTTACCTTACCAGGCAGCCTGAAGCCTCCCTGCAAACACACACACACCGCTCTCAGAAGCAGAATCAAGGCAGTCCCAAGCCTTCTATGATGCACACTCTCTAATTGCTAGGGCGAAAGAGCTACAAACAAGCAGCCTTGTCGCCACCTACAGTTAGAAATTTGAATTTCCTGCCTTTTTCCCCCTGCCTTTTTCTGTTCGTAAGTGGAAGCTCCGGCCATAAGTCGAAGCAAAATTTTGTGGCCGGAGCTGGTCGTAACTTGAAAGGGTCATAAGTAGGGACGTTCGTAAGTCAAGGCACCGCTGTATGTCCAATATTTTCCAAAGAGCAACATTTTAAATCAACTATCTATTAGTCTTCCCAAGTCCATAGGAGGGGGAAAAGGTTAGAAAATAGAAAATAGTGCTCTTTTACTTAACTACTATCATATTTCTCTTATTTTAGAACTATGTTTTTAAGGACCAAATACTTTATTCTAGTCCTATATTTTCTTATAATCTGATGTGGAATAATATTGTAGTCCCTGATTGATGAATGATTGATGATAAGGCACGGCCATTCAAGTTTCAAAAGGAGGTTATTTATATATATATTTTTCCCCCATCACATTTCTGAAGACGATTCTGTAGTTTTCAACAATGTTTCGGTTGGCAGCTTTTCAGTTTCATTCAATGATATAAATATTCCTTTTTAAATGACCATGTCGGAATTTCCTATAATTATTTGTGAGTTTACTGTATTCTCTGCATAAATGTACAATTGTAATGTATCTTCTAAGAAACAAGAAATTTTGACTTCAATTCACTTATTGTCACATGAGTTAAGGACTATTCCTATATGTCCAGAGAGTAGTGAAACATAGGTAAGTGTGTCTGTGCATGAGTGAGAGAGAGGAGAGTGCTGTGATTCGTGATTCATACTGTGGTCTGTGGGTCCCAGATCCAATCCTGATTCAGCACTTTGATTTTGGGTCCAATTCTGTCTTGTGCAATCTGGACCCCGTCTGGTCTGATCTAAGTCCTGAGTCTCAAGAAATATTTAGAATCTTGCTGAATCTCTTGGAACCCTCTTTTATGAAGACATTCAAGCAGCAATAATTGTGAGGCTGTTTGGGTATCTTCAGAAAATGTGGCAAGCTGGTAGGACACAAGTGAGAATTTGCATCTCAGATTGCAGGCATGCACCTTTTCAGGTCTGGCAGCAATCGGTCTCCAAAGTTTGCTTGCTTTCAACTCCCCGCTCCCCCCCCCATTTTTCTTTCAAGTGGGGAGCCCCATCTCTTGTACCTACTGTCTCTTTGTGAATCTGAAGAGGAGAGGTTCCTCCTTGCTTGTAAGTTTTACATGTAAGCAAGAACTCCGAAGTAGTGTGGGAGAGGAAAGGAGGAAAAACTAGAGGCCCTTGAGCAATATTTTCTCGGTGGACATTACCAAGGACAGAAGGAGCACGTTTCCTTTGGCCGATGCCAGGAGGAAAAGCCTGACCCAGGCAAAGTAGGGAGGATATGGTATTTCCATTGTACAAAAATTATAGCTCATAGCCAGAACTTTGAATTGTGCTCAGAAATTGCCTAGTAGCCAATGAAGCTATTGTAAAATTCTATATTTCTTATAATTCCAATCCGACCAGTTTTCAAAGACATTCCCATATAGAACATGTTACGTGAATCAAAGCGGAGTTTAAATAAGGCACATATATTGCTATAGCCAAATCGGATCTCTCCAAAGAGAGGCACAGCTGGTACACTAGCTTTAAGTCTGCAAATGTACACCTGACCCCTGTTGATACCTGGGCATCTAGGCTAAGGGCTCAACCAAGGTTTTTCCTGTCATGATGTACGGTAGTGAGAGCTGGACCATAAAGAAAGCAGACTGCCAAAGAATTGATGCCTTTGAATTGTGGTGCTGGAGGAGGCTCTTGAGAGTCCCTTGGACTGCAAGGAGATCAAACCTATCCATTCTGAAAGAAACAACCCTGACTGCTCACTGGAAGGACAGATCCTGAAGCTGAGGCTCCAGTACTTTGGCCATCTCATGAGAAGAAAAGAGTCCTTGGAAAAGACCTTGATGTTAGGAAAGTGTGACGGCAAGAGGAGAAGGGGACGACAGAGGACGAGATGTTTGGACAGTGTCATCGAAGCAGCCAACATGAATTTGACACAACTCCAGGAGGCAGTGGAAGATAGGAGGGCCTGGTGTGCACTGGTCCATGGGTTCACGAAGAGTCGGACACGACTAAACGACTAAATGACGACGATGAAGGCTATACCCTAGCAATGCAATCCAAAATAAGATGAATCCTTATTCTCACTCTGCATCATGACTGTACAGAAGCACTCTGTGTTATCTAGATCAGCCATTCTCAACTTTTTTTGGCCATGGCCATAAAAACAATACGAACGAAATACAGGCCAAATAAAGATTGTAAAGTTGCGAACGTTATGAGGTGGTGTCTGCCCCTCAGGGGCAAATGGCACCCTTTGAGAGTGGCTGATGTAGTTTATGTTTCAATTTGTTTTAATTCATAAAATCAATTACTAGCGACAGACACTAGTTTGGAAGAAAAATAGCTTCTTCAGATGTAGTTGAAAAGTAGAGATAAAGTTTGGCTTCACTGACATTTTGGTGCCACTGCCCCCCAAATCTCTGGACGGCGCAAGGCAGTTTTAATAGAAAGCATGAGACAAGACAGAGGCTTAGGCTGGCTGGACTGGGGACCTCTAAAACAGGAAGCACCTGATTAAATTAAAATTTTACAAATGTACAAAGGCATTCCTAAATCAGCTACATATCTGAATATATTATATCTTTCCATCCATCGGTGTAAATCTCTGTGAAACCAATATTAAAAAAATAATCACAGTGGCACAGTGGCTAAACTGCTGTACTTCAGCCGAAACTGTGCTCACGACCTGGGGTTCAATCCCAGGTAGCCGGCTCAAGGTTGACCCAGCCTTCTA